ATCAAGATGACTGCAGCCCTTACTCTTAACTACAAGGCAGCAGTTTCCACCTGTTAATCCTAGTTCTTAGCCTGAAATTACTGGATTAGTTTCAATCCCACCTTAGGTGATATATAGTCAGATACTTGAGGATGACCAACCTGTACTTCCTAAATCTGTTCCTTGAGATAAACGCCTTCAAAAGTTTCTACAAATCATTTTATAGGAATAGTTGAATTTCTCTTAACAGCTTGTTCACCCTTGTTTAGGGATTTTGGCAAGATCGTGAATATTTGCATGATTTTCCAGTCTGCCAAATGCCATGCAACTTTTGCCACAAGGCATGTAGGCTGGAAGGAGGCCTGCAGATGGCAGCCAAAAGTGCTTTTAGCAAGGCCCAACTAGGCAGGTAGACCAGGGTGGCAAGGTCTCGGGTTAGACAGGCCTTCTCTGAATGTTCTTGTTCAGATAGTCTCATACTCTTCGAGCAGTCCTCCCATGAACCAGGCATGATCTTTCTTATTCTAAGAATAAGAAAAATTAATATAAAACTGTTTGTGTTTTCCTCCATTTTGTATTTAGGGAAGAAAAAATTTCTCAAGTACTGTTCAACTTCTAATACTAACTTAGAAGTATTAGAAGGTAATTTTTCTGGCTCTCATTTTCTCTCATTTGAACAGCAGGGGTTGCCCCAAGTTAGACAGTGAAATTGCCAGAGCTTGGTTATAAATCTGCCTCCTCCCAGTGCTCTTTGATGCCAGCATGTCATACCTTGTTCAGATGATAAATAATTAAGAAATAAAATATTTTTCCAAACAATAAATAGTCTATAAATAATCTTAAGAAAACATTTTAGGCATATATTCTGTGGTTTATAAAGCAAACCTTTTTTTTTTTTTTTTTTTTTGAGACTGAGTTTTGCTCTTGTTGCCCAGGCTGGAGTGCAATGGTGCAATCTTGGCTTACTGCAACCTCCACCTCCTGGGTTCAAGGAATTCTCCTGCCTCAGCCTCTCGAGTATCTGGGACTACAGGCACATGCCACCATGCCTGGCTAATTTTGTATTTTTAGTAGAGACGAGGTTTCTCCATGTTGGTCAAGCTGGTCTCGAACCCCTGACCTCAGGTGAGCCACCCACCTCAACCTCCCAAAGTGTTGGGATTATAGGTATGAGCCACCGCGCCTGGCCAGCAAACTTTTTTTTTTGAGACAGAATCTCACTCTATTGCCCAAGCTCGAGTGCAGTGATGCAATTACACAATCACAGCTCACTGCGCCTTGACCTTCCAAGCTCAAACAATCCTCCCAGCTCAGCCTTCTGAGTAGCCAGGATTACAGGCATGAGCCACCTCACCTGGCTCAAGTGCTTAGGAAGAAATCAATGCGTGGTGATCATTTACTGTTAGGCAAACAGTTATTGTTATTTTGGAGTACTTTGGTTTCTGTGGAGTTTTTTTTTTTTTTTTTTTTGAGATGGAGTTTTGCTCCTGTTGGTCAGGCTGGAGTGCAATGGCATGATCTCAGCTTACCACAACCTTTGCCTCTTAGGTTCAGGCAATTCTCCTGCCTCAGCCTCCCCAGTAGCTAGGATTACATGCACATGCCACCACACCCGGCTACTTTTTGTGTTTTTAGTAGAGACTAGGTTTCTCCACATTGATCAGGCTTGTCTGTGAACTCCTGACTTCAGGTGATCCACCCACCTTGGCCTCCCAAAGTGCTGGAATTACAGATGTGAGCCACTGTGCCTGGCCTCTGTGTGGAGTTCTTAACATTGGAAGGAGTAGTTTAATATAAGGATACTAGGCCTGGGAGGGGAGAATTGGGGCCCTGAGTTTCTGGCTCTCATTTTGTCTTTTTTTGGCAGGTAGATGAAGCTCTGAGGTCTCAGAGTTAACCAGTCCTTCTCTGAATGCTCTTGTGCTGATGGGCTGGCCCTCTTCAAGTAACCCTTCAGTAAAACAGGTATAAACTTTCCTGTTCTAAAGTAAGAAAGATTAATATAAAACTGTTCAATTGTGTTTTTCTCCGTTTTCTAATTTTTTGGAAAGAAAAACAAATTCTCAATTACTGTTTAATTTGTAAGACTAATTTTGCCCTAAAAAAACTTTCTTACAATTTGTCTAACATGAAACCGGACATGTATACAATCTTATTTGTCCTTACAACAATACCATATAATGGAGTAATGGTATTACATCTCATTTCAAAGATGAAAAAAATTGAAGCTTAGGGTAATTTAGCCACTTGCCAAATTTTTTATGACTATCAAATGATAGACCCATAATATAACAAGTAGGATTCTATATCTGAAATTGGTTTCACTTTACCTAGGGCTTGGGAGGTGAATGGCAGAGGAGAACAGGGAACAGTGGATAAAATCCCAAGTCCATGAATTCTTTTGTTTAAATATCTACCTGTATATTACATCACACACAGATATTTTCCATTTTCATAAAAATGCCTGATGAATGCATTTAATAATACAATCCATTAATCATGTAATAATAGTGTTCCATAATAACTTGCAGTTAATGTATCATGAACATCTTGCTATGACAATTGATCTACTTTATTCTTTTATTTTTAAAGTAGTATAAGTACAGCATAACCCATACTCATCAAAATGTAGGGTTTTTTTTTTTGTTTTTTGTTTCCCACCCCAGGGATTCAGATTTGGTAGGTCTGGGTCAGGACCCAAGCATGTGGGGTCTAGGAGAGTTTCCAGCGTGACTGACACACAGCACTGATGAGGAACTGCTATTCTCTGCCACGTCTTCTAGGGTCAATGAGATATGAACAAACAGAGCAACCAACAAAGCATGGAGCCAGCCAGCGGCAAAGTATCCTGGTGCCAGAGAAAGGCTGGACGAAAGAAGATGGGACTCCATTTCCAGCGAAGGAAGAAGTACAGTAACATTCCCATGGTAGACACAGGTAGTCCGGTTGTGTGTTTCACAGGGGTGTGCAAAAAAGGGATGTGGAAAGACAGTGACAACCCCCAAAGACCTCCATAGGGACAGAGATTAGATTGGAAGCTGGGGGGCTTATTTTAAAGTTACATTTGCATGGCAAGCACAGTTTTATTGAGATGGCTTATCTGAAGTGCTTTGGCAGGGTTGATGGATTGTGGGAGATCTAGAAAACCTCAGAGATCCCCCTTTCATGCTACACTAACAGGGAGAGGGTCTGAGTACTAGAAGGTGCATTAGTTCTATTTTATTACTTTCTTTTTTCCGTTAGGAAATGACATTTGTCATTACTAGTTTGCTTAGGGCATGTACAATACACAAAGAAGGGCTCTGAACTTCTTTTGTCATTAATTTCAGTTTCACCCCCCCTCTCAGAATATCATTGACTGATATCAGAATATCATTGACTTGAGAGTCTCCGCCCTTCTGTGGAGCATCTTACTTGCTGATGAAAGAGGTAACCAGCATATATAATCCTGAAGTGGACTTTTGGAAGAAAGGCAAACACAGAGGCCCAGGGAGCCCCAGCCTTTCCCCTTTCTTCATCCCCAGCAGGAACCTGTTCTTGATTTTCCCCAGGGGGCTCAGCCCAGTTCCTGGGTCATCCCAGGCCCATGGCAAGGGCACTGAATCCAGCCCAACCTTGCTCTCTGCAGCTCATCACCCAGCCACACTCCCGCCCAGAGGCAGTGCCCTGATTCTGTTAATTGGGCTCTTGCCTGGTTCCCAAGCCCAGGGTCCCCTGTGGGTACTACTGTTCCCAAGTTCCTGCCTGGCAGCCTGCCTTGAGCCCCAGATTTTTCCTAGGAGTAAAGAGGCCTTTCCCATGCCAGGCTCCCACCCGGAATTGGAACACTGCCTCAGGCCTGAGGTTTCTGATTGGAGCTTAGCCACTAGAGGACAGACTCCCTGGAGCCAGCTTCCTGTCTGGATTTCCAAGTATTACCTGCCCATCGCTGGACTCTAACTGTTTATTGGAAGCATTTCTGCTTCTGACTTATGGCCTTTCTCTCCTTCCCCCTTGGCCAACTGCTCCCCGAAGCTGTAAGCAAAAATTGCAGTGAGTTGCAATTGCCTGAGAGATTGAACTTCCTTTGCAAGCACCTGCAATATCGTCAGCTCCCCAAACACAGATTTTCACCCCAGTGGGTGGGCCCCATGCTATGTCCTAAGCCCTCTGGATCTTGCCTAAGTAATGGGATATGCTCTACAATTCAGTGACATGTCCATGGCTTTATACAGTTGGTGGGTTCTGGAAAAGTTTTATTTAAATCAATACTTTGCAAATGAGGTCCTCTTAAATATTCTAGAGAGACTGGTTTAGAGTATCCTATTCTGATCTCTACGAAAAGTGAGTAGCAGCCGGGCATGGTGGCTCATACCTGTAAACTAGCACTTTGGGAGGCAGATGTGGGTGGATGGCTTGTGCTCAGGGTTCAAGACCAGCTTAAGCAACATGTTTTTTGTCTTTACAAGAAACAAAAACAAAAATTAGCTTGGCATGGTGGCTCTTGCCTGTAGTACCAACTACTTGAGAGGCTGAGGTGGCAGAATCCCTTGGGCCTGTGAGGTCGAGGCTGCAGTGAGCCATGATTGCACCATTGCACTCCAGCTGCGTGACAGAGCAAGCCCTGTCTCAAAAAAAAAAAAAAAAAAAAAAGTGAGTAGCAATGTGAGACTTGAGAGTTTTAGCTTTCACAGATTGTGATCTTGAACAAATTATTACATAGTCGTCCGGTAACATTTTTCTCACCTGAGATATGATGAGGGGAACTTAGTAATTCTAAGACCCTGTCTAGTTCTAATAGTCTCCGATTGTTAATAATCTCACCCTAACTTGTATTGTTTTGTATACTCAAATTTTTAGGTTAAAAGTTCTCAAAATTAAGTACACTGATATGAAGTTTCTGCCTGGGGACCGACTCTTTTGGCTTTTGTTTTATAGGTTGTCTTTAATGACCTGGAGTTGTTATAACAGCTGTCAACTGAGGTAAGCTTCACAGAAGGGGAGCTGCCTTACCTCCAGAGAGGAGCTTTCAATTTCTTATTTTTTGGAAATAACAGAAAGCAAAGAAGGCTCTTCTGAAAGTGAAGCAACAGGCCACCCCAAGCCACTGGGAGGAGACTAGACCTGGTGATGAATGGGGATGTTTGAGAGCAAGTCCTCTGAGAAGCAGAGGCAGCATCAGCCTGCTCTTTTCTTCTGTAATTAAGAGGGAGGCCCTGGATCTTTGTATTCGACCCTTTAATCTAAGGGTTGCTAAATGTTTTACAAACATTAATTAATTCAATTAGACTTTACACCACCACCTTGAGGCAAGTAATTCCTCTTTGGGATATCCCATCTTTGCTTGCTACCACAGACTATATTTTGGGGCAGATTAGGATAATTAATAATAACAGTAAAGCCTTGAGTTTAGATAAAGTTCTATAACTTAAGGTCTCAGGTACGTTACAGACACCAGATTTGTGTAATGAGGACTGAGGAGGAAGCTTGAGCCAGCTTATTGGCAATGATGACAAGGCAGAAATATTGCACTTGTTTCAGGTTATACTCTATGCTAAAGACACATGACCTTGAACAACTCTTTGTGACCTCTTTATGACTCAGTTTCTACAGCTTTCAAACGGGGGTGATGATATTACTCACCTCCCTACTTCACAGAGATGTTGTGAGGAAATGTTTGTAATATGCTGTGAGTTCTCAGATGAAAGATGGAAATTAACATATAATGAAACATTATTACCATTTATCATCACACAATCTAAATGGGCCAGACAAGTGAAGCATCAGCATCCCCATAATCCCGGCAGAGAAACCAGTCCTGCCATTATTTCCATTGAACGTATATTATAGACACTCACAGAGGTTGAGAGCTTCTCAGAGCAACAGACATGCTCCTGAAATAATCAAAAGCAAACTGAGATGCCAGATCAGCAGAGGTAGCTGAGTATTTACTTATTTTTTTTTTCCATTTTCCATTTCCGTTCTTATTTGGGAGAGAGTATTTGAGAAGAAATGAGTGCAGGGAGAGAATCAGAGAATAATCGAAGGAACTTTTCCTCTTGGACATTCCTCTCAATTCTAAGGTATCAATATATGTGTATAATTTGTAGTCCCCAGAATGGGCAGCGCGCAAGCCCTTGTCCGTGCCTTTGCTCTCCATCTCCTTTGTTAATAGTGCTTTCCTTACCCATCTACATTTATGTAGGCCAGCATAAAACTCCGATTTTTGTGAGAGCTTCCTGGTCTAACCCCCTACTTGAACTCCCTGTTACTCTTGTGTAATTAGCATATTATATAGTTGTTTTGTTTTGTTTTGTTTGAGATGACGTCTTGCTCTGTCGCCAGGTTAGAGTGCAATGTTGCCACCTCAGTTCACTGCAACCTCTGCCTCCTGGGTTCAAGCAATTCCCCTGCCTTAGCCTCCCGAGTAGATGAGACTACAGGAGCGTGCCACCATGCATGGCTAATTTTTTGTATTTTAGAAGAGACACGGTTTCCTCATTTTGGCCAGGATGGTCTCAATCTCCTGACCTTGTGATCCACCCTCCTTGGCCTCCCAAAGTGCTGGGATTACAGGCATGAGCCACCAAGCCTGGTTGGAATTTATATTTTGGTATTGGTTGTGTTTCTTAATGAACTTAACTTTTCTGGAGCATCATTTATTAAATCTTTATTCTTCATCTGTTGCAGATCTGGGCATAGTGAAGTTAGTCAAACTCGTGTTAAATGAATGAATGAATGGAATCCTTCAGCAAAATGTCAAGATTAGAATTCAGACCACACCAAAACCTTATCTGCCATTCTCACTATGCCACCTTACAACCTGTGAGGCACATACAGTACAGAATAGAAATACTAAAGAGGCACAATTAAGGAAAGAGAGACTAGATTAAAATCAAACAATGTTCTAAAGAGAAATAGAAGACTTAACTTAGAGGGTTCAAGAAAACTGTCTACATAGAGTATTGCATAGGAAGGACCGAGTCGCTTTAGCACTTGATTTCCATAATATGAGAGCACAGGCTGATCAGGAGCAACAGGCATATTTATGGAGTTCAGCTTGCCTTCCATATTATTGTCACTCTTTGCATTAAGCTCAGAGCTAGCATTTGGGACCTCCACACATGGTGTTGGTCTGTATTTTCCTGCCACATGTCACTCTCCTCTTTTTCCTTTACGCACCACATGCTGCAGTGGGGCTGATGGACTTGCTGTGAACATGGCCATGTGTTTCTCCCTCTGATGACCCCCTTGCTTCAAAGCTCTTTCCTGTGGGCTCACTCTTTGTTCGAGCCTCGGCATCTCCACCTGTTGAAGTCTTTTTTTGTCTCTTTTCAAGCAGTGCCTTTCTCAAAAGGCTTCCTCCACAAAGAGGCTTTTCTGGTCATGTAAATGCAAAACTCCTTGCAGAGCACTTTGGATGTGTCAAATAAATGTGTAGAAATGGTATTACCCTAGGAGCTAGGATCATGGATTGGGAGAGCTGCTTTGCTTAGGTTCAGAAACTCATTCTGTCACTTACTAATGGTTTGAATGTAGGCAAATTATTTAATATCTGCACCTGTGTTTTCTTGTCTGTCAAATAAGAATGGCCAGAATAGTATCAACCACTGAGGCGTTTGTCAGGATTGTGTGCAAAAGAGAGTGTACACTGTTTAGAATAGTGCCTCATATCTGGAAGCGTTTGGTAAATGTTCTCTTTGCTTTCCCAGTCTAGCCCTGTTTCTGGATATGCTTGTCTTTGTAGACCAAAAGCACTAAATGAGAGTGAGTACTGCCCATATGTAGTGTTGCCATAGATAAAATCTAGATGTTTTACCAATAGAACTCCCAAGGAACTTGAAGAAACTCTCACTGTCGCAGTCCTCAGTTCTTCTGAACCATATTGTGGAAAATAATTTTCCACAGACACTTGATTTTTATAAAAACTTTTAATGTTCTTAGGGACTTATATTTGCCTGTTCAAGTTTGGCTTAAATATTGTAACAGCATGATCGGATTTATTTGATGTGGTAAGTTTGTATACAGTTTCTCCTCTAGTTCTTAGTAAGTTACACACTCATCTCAATCCCACGATGGTGCATGAGTTGCCAAGTGTATTCAGGAACCCAGCCAAAAGGAAGCAGTGCAAATGTTGCCGGCAATAAACAGGAGAATGAATTGCTTCTCTCTCACCTGCCCAATAGCACTGATATAGTTTTGCTACATCACATACTAATACACCTCAACCTCTATCAGTTGAGATGAAATTTGGAATATTCTTGTTTTATATTTTTTTCCCTGTACGAAATATATAATTACTACCTAGTAAAGCTGTTAAATGTTTAGTTTTCTTGAGGTTTATTGTTTTTAATTGAGATATGCTTTTAAAACTTATTACATCTTTTCATTGAGATATAATTCACATTTCATAAAATTCATGCTTTTAAAGTATACAGTTCAGTGATGTTTAGTATATTCGCAAATTTGTGAAGTCATCAGTAATTCTAGCACATTTTTCTTAACCCCCCCAAGAAACCCTGCACTCCTTATAATTTGACCCTGTGATAAAATGTTAATTTTATTTTCATTTATTTGGTTAAATTATGTTAGCAATTTTTTGAAACCAGGAGAACTATGTAAGTATTTTGTAATTAATATTACAATGAGTTTACTTAGCTTAGTTTTTATGTTTATATTTTACTATTTGCTCAAGGTTTTACGCATCCAACACACACACACACACACACACACATTGATCTTGGTCACATTAGGGTTATTTGGGTCAGGTTGGAGATATCATTACCAATGTAGCTTGAGCAAGGGACAATGGACATGGTGAAGGTAAAAATAACTATATTTTATTGAACACCTATTTCTTTAAAAAAGCACTATTTCTTTAAAAACAGTTTTAGGACATAGGTTCTATTACCATCGTCTTTATGTTACATGTGAGCAAGTAGAAGCTAATGGAATTTATATAATTTGTTATATCCCAAGATAGCATAACTACCACCTAGTAAAGTCCAAATTTGAACTCAGGCCTTCCAAATTTAGTGCATATGCCCTTAACCCCTATGTCCTAACACCTACTATTCAATTGCACATTTAGTTGAATAATCCTAACAGCACTTGATCAGCGCTGTACAATATACTTTCACAATGATCTTGTTCCATCCTCTCAACAGTCCTGTCGGCTGGTACCAGATGAGAAGAGCCAGTTCCTATGGTAAATGATCACACAGCAAGAAAAGCAGCTGGAATACAGGTATTTTGCCAGAGCTAGGGTATGGGTGTGTTTCTCTACACCACATTGGGACTTCTAGCACTTATCTTAGCATTCTGTTCCAGCTTTTATAATAATAATCTACTTCCTGTCATATTTCTTTGGGTGTTTGAATCCCTACATCAACATGAGAGTGGTAAATATGACTTATCTTTTTTATGTAGTCCCTGTGCTCAAGCAATGTTTATTGAATAAATGTGTAAACAAATTAAAAAAGAGTCTTACCATATAGTCACTTGAATATTTTATTTCTAGACTTCCTTAAGTGTTGAATTATCAATATTTTATGAAAAGAGTGACACAGACTAATTTGATTATACCTTTGTTCTTTTTCTTCTTGTGTTTCAAAAAAGTAAACTTAATTTCACATGCACATTAAACAGAATGTTTTTTGCATATACGAGGAAATGTGATTACAGATTAGTGATAATTTGCACCTTTTGTAAGCAAAATGAATGAGAGTAGTATTGAAAACCTGTGGATCAAAGCTTTCATTAATCAAAGAAAATCCGAGACCCTGTGCACTTCCGCTCACTCCAATTCCTTAGGCCATCTGAATAAAGCAGTGATTGGGAGTTCTTGCACCCACCCACTCCTCACTCCTGAGAAGGGTCCTGCCAACTCTGTATAGTCCTGTTGGATTTGCAGTCAGAGGTCTGATGCTGGCAGGCACTGGGCAGGCAATGAGTTCTTTCCCTGTAAGTTGGGCACAAAAAGATCAGCATGGGAGCAGCCTCCTTTGAGACAGCTGCTCTGAGAGAATGCAATAAGCAGAGAGCAGCCAGAAATTCCTCCTAGCAGAGGGCGACTTGTGCAAGTAGTTCAGTGTGCCAAGTATTGTCATTTGTTGAGGGCAGGTGTGTGCTCAAGGAGGAGTTTTAACCTGGAGGATCATTAACTCTTTTAGTCAGCTGAGGAGCTGCGGTGGCTTGGCGAGTTGGAGTTCGTCCTGGAAGCATCTGCCCGGCAAGGTCAGGGAGGAGGTGTGGAATAACTTTCATGGGGGATCAGTTTGAGACGGGCCAGCACGCTTTGCTCAATGAAGGAGAAGAGAATGAGATGGTAAGATTCTAGCCACATTCCCTTCTTCCCATTCCCACTCCTCAGCCTCCAAGACACATACACATGCCCACACGCACACATACACACACACACACACGCACCACACAGAGACTTCTCTGCAATTTCACTCTGGTATTACATGAGAAAAGGTCATGTTTGAGAAATCTCTCTATCCTCTAAATGTAACCTCTGACAGCAGAAGTTTGCTGGAATGAAAATACTGTATTCATCTTATCAAGAATGTTTTCTTTTTAAATAAAACGGATAGGGAGAGAAGCACCATGCCACTTTATAATTCGTGTTTGAGCCTCATCCGTATAGCAAGTTCTGTTCGAAACACCTAACAATTTTAGGAAATCCCTAATGTGAGGAGTGGTGTATTCCCTGATAGCTGGAAGCAGAAGTTCAGCAGTGAAGCAGGAGGGCAGCTGGGTCTTTGACCTTCTTTTCTTCTCACATGTCTTGTTTACCGAGTCTGTTGGACAGGGAAGACATACAAAATTAACAATGATCAACTTACCTACAATTCTGTTTCCTTCTAGAATTTTACTTTTGTGGCTTCCTCATTATAGAGATTAGTTACAGAAAATGTTCAGTAGTTCATTTTCTCCTTTATTTTAGATGTGTTTCTATCTTGAGATCTGTAGGAGAATCAGAGAACTGTAGGAAAATCAAAGTTTACTTTCATGCTCACGATGAATTTAAAACTGTATTTCTCACTTACAATGTAATCAAGAGAGTTAGAAATGTGTACTTCTGTTTAATAAGGTCTTTCTGCTAATTGTGTAAGCACAGTCTTTTATGCCAGTAATGATGTAATTAAAATGTTAAAATGTGATGCTCTCATTCAGTAATAGCATTTTGTCTTCCTGGAATGAATATGTAAATAACAAACCTGAAAGATACTTCCTTAAATATTTTCTCGGTTAATTGCTTTAGCCCTGACTATTAAATTCTTTGTTCCTAAACTGGTCTTTCAAGTCTAATCTGCTTACCTGTTCCTATAGCAACAACATTTTTTGGACTTTCAAGAGTAGATCCCTTCTGCTATCAAAGCTGAAAAAATTATAAAGAAGTAAAAGGCACATTAATTCAGGAGCGTTTCTTAACCATATCCTTTACTTCACTCAGATTTGACTGCCAAATGAATTGCCTTCAGCTCCGCCACAAATGTCACCAGAAATGACTTGCAACCTCACACTGGATATCATCCTTGTTTCTTTCAAGAGTTTTCTTTAGGAAGTGAATGTGTCATTTACTCTCGATATGAAGTTGAAAAGTTTATCTTCATCTTGAATACTTTTCACCAGAAGGCAGGGGCTCCTTCCTCTGAAATGTTTCTCTCTCTCTCTCTCTCTTTCCCTTTCTCTCTCTTACTCTTTCATTTAGAAATACACTTACTCTTTTCCAGTACACCTTTTTCTGCTCTTGGACAATTTGTATTTCAAATGTACATATTCCACCAAAGCAATTTAGTTAACAATTCATCTTTATAACAGCACCATCAGATGTATCAGAATGTCCACCTAATTTTGTAGGCAGCTGAAAGCCCAGTTAGGAGAGGGCCTTTGATATGGAAAGGGATACTGTGTTTTCTGTTGGGCAGTCATTCGGCCAGTAGTCTCAGCAGAGGTGCAGCAATTAGTATGCACTCCTGAACTCTCCATCCTCTTCTGCCTAGAGAAACCTGGCCACCTGCCTGTTGCTGTTCCTGACACACTCTTCCTTTTTAACTCACTCCTGCATCCCTTGGCCAGAGCAGTAAACTATAGCAATTATCTACATCTATCTATTCTACATATTTTATAGTGATTTTTAGTATACAGAACATTTTCTAGGCCACTAGCTAATTTAGTTGGCATCACAACCCCATAAGGTAGATGCTGTGATTCTTACTTTAAAAATGAGGAAATAATTTTAGGGAAATAGATAATTTCCCTAAGGTGGTGTCAACCAGTAAGTCTAGGAGCTGAGGCACCACAGGTTAGTTTAAGTTGATAGCTCTTTTGTCTCTGGACCTGAACATAGCCCACTGATACCTTCTTCAGTTCTTCCAGAGAACATTGCACTCTTAACAGAACACATTCCCTTTCTTCATAAAACAAAGCTAAGGAGAACTCAACATCCAATCTTCTTAGATTCCCCAGGATCTATTCTGTTATAGATACTTTGAGTTTCTTTTTTCTTCTAGATAACTTGAGTATCTGAAATAAGTCTGTCTCCTCTGACTTCCATGTCTAGAAATGTGTCACACCAAAGTGTTTATAATTAAGTGCTTTATAATATACTTTGCTTGAATCTTTGCAAAAGTAATTTCTCTGGTGGTATAAATTACTTCAAGTTTCAAGAGAAAACATTATAGGGTTTAGACCTCCTGTTACATAAAAAGAATATTCTGAGGCCTAAAGATGCCTGGGATTATCTTCCATTTTAGAGTTAAAAAAAAAAAATGGCTGTGCACGATGGCTCACGCCTGTAATCCAGCACTTTGGGAGGCCAAGGTGGGTGGATCAAGAGGTCAGGAGATCGAGACCATCTGGCCAACATGGTGAAACCCCGTCTCTACTAAAAATACAAAAATTAGCTGGACGTGATGGTGGTGCCTGTAGTCCCAACTACTTGGGAAGCTGAAGCAGGAGAATTGCTTGAACCCAGGAGGCGGAGGTTGCAGTGAGCTGAGATTACACCACTGTGCTCCAGCCTGGGAGACAAAGTGAGACTCTTTCTCAAGAAAACAAACAGATAAACAAACACCCCAACAAACAGGAACTAAATAGCAACCCTAGGTGACCTGAAAGTAAGATCCTTAAGTGCAAAATGAGACAGGAGCCAAAGGAAGAGAAGTTTTTGGAGGGAGAAGGAAGGAAAAGTGAGAAAGTAAGAAAGTGACCTTCGAGAAAGGTTCACCTAAATGACTGTCTCAGAAAGGCTTCCAGGAGGAAAATCCCAGAGAGCACTGGGACTGGAGCAGAGGCCTGGCTCTCAGTAGCCTTGGGCTAGCCTGCTCTAGACTTGGTTTGTATACCTGCAAAATAGGACTGGTCTTTCTTACCCTACCCGACTCAGAGAGCTCTTATGAAGATCAGTGGAGATAATCCATGTGAATGGATTTGATAAGTATACAGTTCTGCCAAAGTGTGAACTGCTATTATCTAAATCAAGGTAGAAGGAGCCAGGGCCTTAGCAATTAACCAATTGAGTAAATACTACCCCACAAAAATGAGGTCATCTCTTGTCATTTAGTTATACCAAAAGGAATATGTACTTTTATTCATAAGCCACAGAGACCACTTATAAATGGAGAGGAGCTGGGTTACCTTCTACTTGCCTTGTGTGTACTTTGGGAAAACACCTACCTTTCTTTTCCTTCCTTCCTTCCTTCCTTCCAATTTATTGACATTTATATGTTTTCAACTCGATTCTTTTAATTTTGTAACTGATATTATACCAACCAGTAGTGGGTAGCTAAAAACTAGTAAGTGAAAAACCACAATAAACCCTTTTTGGGCTTCCATGCCATTTCTGAGAACTTAGCAATGGGCACATAATGTGGCAACAGGGTTGGTGTGTGGTCATTGCCACATTGGAAGTCCTGTCAGGCCTTTAGCGGGAGCTAGGAACATTTTTCTTCACCAATTATTTGGCTCACTTTGATAGCTGATGTTCCTCTTTCCTTCTCTAACACCCGGGAGCAAAAGCACCTCCCCCATCTCAATAGCCACTTGTTTATTATGCTCCATGAGCACCTCTGAGTCTGTTGCCAATGTTAACTGGTGAACCCACAGATCTCATAGTGGGGGAATTGTGTTCAAGGCTGAGACATTTTGTCATTTGAAATGTTCAGGAAGCTGGGCCACTGGCCAAGTCTAATGTCTTTATTCTCCATTCATTGCTGCAGCACTCCCATGAAGTCAACTCATCTTTAATATAAATTTTAGAGGAGTGAGATTTAATTGCTTCTTCAAGACAGGGATCCTTCTTGATTCAAGTTTTCTCAGCTTCTCCCTTTCCCTTCCCAATACACCCAGAATTTAACACAGTGCCTGACACAAAAACTCAGGAGATGATAGCATTATTGCAAGCTCCATTAACTGCAATTTTGCATTCTGAGAATGGGAGGCAGCACAGCTCAAAAGTAGTAGCAGTTTGGGTAATTTAAAAAGAAACCTAGAAAATGTTATGTTATTTATTTGGAATGGTCAGTAGTCTCAGGATTTTATCAATTAGTTCCCCTCTCCCCCAAGAATAACAAAAGCTTATTCTTAGTTCATTAGCCATACGGGACTATTTTTCTATGAGATGCTTTATCTTTTCATCTATTTATATATAAACTCAACAAATATTTAAGAAACCTCTACTTTTTTCCAGGAGTCCTCTGTGCTAACCGAAGACTAGTTTCAAAGAATAGCAAATAGCTTCTGTTTTCAAGGAGCTCACAATCTAGTGGCAGGGCTGAATACATAATTTGAGGGGCCCAGTGTGAAGTGCAAATGAAGTGTACCTTGTTCAACAATTATTAAGAATTTCAGGATATTTATAGCAGACTATTGAGCCAAGTGTAGGGTCCTTCTGAGTGTAGGACTCTCCTGAGTGTAGGACCCTGTGTGACTGCACAGGTTGTGGGCACATGGAGTTGTCCCTGCAAGTTGGGGTACAAGCATAATGAAAATGTGATATAATAGGTATTTTGAGAGTTATGCATACAGAGCTGTGGGAACACAGAAGAAGGAACAATTCAGTTAAAGAAAACTTCAAGGGGAAAGATGACATTTAATTTTCCTGGAGTGGTGGGTGATTTTGAAGAACTTTATAAGACATTCTAATGAGTATCTTTTCCAATGATTCTCAAATATTGATCTGTAGAATCAGGTGGGGGAATACACACAAAATAGATTCCTAGGCCCCATTCTAGACCTACTGGATTAGAATCTTTGATGGTGGAGCTGACCTTGGTCAGAATGATTGTGATGCCAGCCTGGCTGATACAATATGGAAGCCAC